CTATAAAGATAAAAGCTATGAGATAGACTATTGTATTTTGATTCTAGTTATGGGGTGAATTTACATTTTGACGGTCCCTCGACGAACAAATTTACCGATTCTGGTGATAGACTAATTTTTAAGGATTGCACGAACATCGACTTCATAGCATTTAGCTTGTAGGTCCTTAATATCAGCAACTAATATGGATAGGCCTATCGAGAACTGTAGAGGATGCAGTGGCGGTTAAAACCGTAAATTATTTCGATATGATAAAATAGATTATAGTTCCCTAACAAGTATTTCAAAGTCAATGCCTCTGAGATGTGTTTCCAACAACATAGAACTACAGTTACATCCATAGATTTCCACTAAGAAATCTTTCACCGAAAACTAAATTCGAATATATTTTTACTCAATTTACTCAATATTTAGGGATGCTTAATCGCCCCACGTCTCTTGGCGTCAAACAGCCTTGCTCATACTTCATGAGAGACGAAGAAAGGAGCCTCTTACGGAGGCATAGTTGTTTATTATTATTAATAGTCAGAATTATCTATATATATAAAAATGAATTGCTGTTCGTTAGTTTCGCTAAAACTCCAGAACGGCTTGACCGATTTGGCTAATTTTGGTCTTGAATTATTTTTCGAAGTCCAGAGAAGGTTTAAAAGGTAGATAAATATGAAAATTCTCGGAATAAAAAAAAGTTTAGGTCTTTTATTTATCGATTGAGGCACTACGAAGTCTGCTGGGTCAGCTAATGATTAATAATTATATGCTAGCATGCTGACCTACTAGTAACTACTGCTAATACTAATACTACAGTATGCCGCACTGTTGCTACGTCACAGGTGCAGCTAGGGAGCGACACAACAACTAGCTTTCTTTATTGCTTAGGTGGGTGGATGAGCTCACGGCCCTGATGTTAAGTGGTTACCGGGGTCCATAGACATCTACAGCGGAAATGCTGCCACCTACCTTGAGATATGAGTTCTAAGGTCTCAGTTCACAGTACAACGGCTGCTCCACTCTTCAAATCAAAACGCATAACAGCTTCACGGCAGAAATAGGCAGGGTGGTGGTACCTACCCGCGCGGACTTACAAGACGTCCTACCACCAGTACTAGCCTAACCAATAAAACTAAGTAATACGCTAAAAGTCAGCATCTGAAGCAGCCTAACCCCGGGCCCGTAACGCCGCCCTCCTCCTTATAAAAGTAAGGGAGAGAGGAGGAGGAGAAATATCGCATGCTGAGCGGCCCCCGACATCCTAGTGATGTGGGTGGCCATTCTCAGATAACCGTCAATCTCGACCCCCAGGTGTAGCGCTGGAGATAAACTCGATATCGACGCCCATGAGACTGACGAGATGTCCCAAGACGAATCTTGTGCAAACCAGACCGTATGAGATCGCTGCGGTCTTCCCTAGGTTGTTGCAGCACAGGGAATAATTACAGCGTTGTCGAATGACCGCTACAAAATCCGAATCGTACGGGTCTGAAAAGTGTTTGCGGCGAAATCCTTCTCAGGAGCAGCCGCTCGACCAACTCGCCCACGTGCTAAAGGACAATAGCTAGAAAACCTTCGCCTGTCCTCGCCTGGATTGGGGGGGCTGTTGCCTTTCCCAATGTCCAGATTCCATACTCCATGTGATTATCGTGTGAGACTACTTCAAACCAGAGGTCTGTCTATAAGACTTCTACTCATAAACAATACGGAGCAGCCTAAAAACAAGATTAACCGGGAAATGAAAATTTGGCCATAAGCAACGTTTCGCTGCGCTTTTGAGAATCTGTAAATTGAGGCTCAAGAGTACCTAACAGATTAAAGACCACTTTTATTAATTAATCATTAAATCATTGTTAATTAGTCATTAAATATTTAAGATTATTTGATTTTATTAAAGAACAAACGGTTGAAAAGGAAGAAAAAGGAACATCTTAGATTTCTAGTCATATTATTATTATTATTATTTTTTTTACTTCGATGGGTGGACGGACTCACCTGGTGTTAAGTTTAATGGTGTTAAGGTTATACATCTGTAGTAAAGAAAATATTTTTGGAAAATTTCCGTGGTCCGATGCACACACGGAATATGAGTGTTTGTATTTCACGAAGTCTTAAACGAAGTATTAAAAACCAATTTCGAAGCACAATCGAATGAATTTTTTTTTTGGAACGAAGTTTCTTAGGAGACGATGCGGAGGGGTACTCTAACCGGGAAAAAACGTCCGTAACGTAAGATTTTTATTAGTAATGTACACCGTATACGACTTAACTTTGTCATAACGTACAAAAATAGCATTTTTTTAAATCATTCATTGCCCACGATCTCAGAGCGTTCGTTTGCGCAATACACTAACTCTTATGCAAACAACCGTGAATGAAATGTACCAAAATAAGTTCGGACGTTACCGAACGACCGTGGGTTGTTGCGGAATCTCCAGTTTTATTTTCTTTATACCTCGAACAGAACTTAAAATTAATATTTTTATAATAAGTAACTTCGTTCCTATCTGGTGTCCCACGACACCGCACATCTTTTATTAATATTTGCGCGTACGCCTTTGTCATTGACAGCCATTGACAGTGTAAACTCATAAAAATGACATTTATGACAATGTAATAATGGAGATGAGTTTCTTTAGGCACCGCAAAAGCAGGTCGCCTCGAGCTTAGATTCTGAATATTTTAGCGACCGCTCAAAAGACGGCTATCTTTCTTCCCACATATCATTTTCGCTACAGATGATTTCATATAATATACATAAAGTTTTTTATTCAGGTCTCGACTTATACAGGGAATCCCTTGAGACTCATTCACATTTATTAGAATGTTCAGGTTTATTGTATTGTTGTAAATGATGTGAATAAAAATACCAACTATAAAACAATATTTTATATAATTAATAAATATTTTGTTTAGTTTTATAGTTCTAAGCGATTTCTCTCAGCCAAATTTTTTTTTATTGCTTATGTGGGTGGACGAGCTCACAGCCCACCTGGTGTTAAGTGGTTACTGGAGCTCATAGACATCTACAACGTAAATGCCGCCACGCACATTTAGATATGAGTTCTAAGGTCTTACTATAGTTACAACGGCTGCCCCGTCCTTCAAACCGAAACGCATTACTGCTTCACGGCAGAAATTGGTAAGGCGGTGGTACCTACCCGCGCGGACTCACAAGAGGTCCTACCACCAGTAAATGTTTGTATGTGCCCTCTACTTAGCTCAAGCTATGCCTTGACAAGTGCCCAATAATCTATATATTAATACGTGAAGCAAAAACTTTGTATCCCATTTTACGAAAATTGCGCGGACGGAGGAGTATGAAATTTTCCACACTTATAGAGAATAATAGAAGAAGTGCACAATGCTAATATTTTTTTTAAATAATGCATAAATGATACATTAAATCAATAAAGAAAACATTACACACACTACATACCATGTAGTTGACGCACACACGCAAGCATACTATTTATTGTCAAACTTTTGTTCTTGACGTCTGTTGTCAAATTGAGAATAGATTAAATATTGTTTGTCTTTGTTAATATTTTTTATAGTGTAGTCTTGGCGAAATTTGTGATTACAGAAGTATAAAATACAATCATAATAGTGTACAAACTTACAATTCCAATTAATTATAGTCGAATTTCGACTACTCCGGGACCTCTAGTGATAATAAATGGTTACCTAAGACCCAAAAGTGAATTGTCAATTGCATTAAAACAATTAGTGTTCTGTCATTCAAAATGGAACACGTGATAGCTGCAAATATAATCGTTCGAATACTTGTATTGATCACAAATTACTGAACCTTAAAATGTATTAAAGATTAATCCTTGAAGTTGTTTAATTGTGATTAATATTAGTGAAGAACAAACTTTCAATGGTAATTAATATCTTATACCGTATTTGTGTGTCGAAGACGTACCTAATCAAAGCCATTTCTACGGTATAATTTAGCTGTTCCGAATATTTTACAATATTTAGATCAAATCTGTGGTCGAATATATAATATAATAACGATAAAAAAATCCTAGATTAAGCCGTAATACTTTCTTTCGATAACAAACCGATCTTATACCTTTAAGCGAGTAATTCTTGTATATACATATGTATATATATAATCTGAATCTCAGAAACGGCTTCAACGATTTTTATAAAATTTAGTATACAGGGGATTTCGGGGGCGATAAATCGATCTAGCTACGATTTATTTTCAAAAAATATTGTCTTATTCGTGTTTTCAATAATCAACTTTATGACTCTTCCGGACGTCTATTGGCAAATAATAATACTGCTTTAAAGATACAATAACACTAAAGCTATTTCAGCAGATGGTGTTGCTGAGCCACCCGAAAAATACAATTTATCAAAAAGAAAAGTTATTATACGTACGCAGTAAGTACTGCCTGACCGTACTCTTTTAGGATTTTAGAAATCTTTTGTTTTTAAATAATCCAATTTTTACCCGACTTCCTAAGAACAAGATTATTCTTTGGAGATTGTAATAAGCACTAGTTATTATGTATGTTCATTTCGTCAGCTCTGTAGCCCAAAAAGTTATATTTTTAGATTACGTTGGATATGATTTAATTGTGGAATTTAAAAATATAATTTAATTTATTACGAATTGACTAACTTTATTGTCTACTAGCCGTATTCGCCTATTTACTGTTATTATTATTAGGGAGTCCAACACTCATATAAATATTAGCCTATCCATTGAGTACATGTATTTTCTACATGGATACCAAGTTTCAAGTCAATCGGATGCATGGCTCAGTAGTTATAACGGAACATCCGTAAAAACCACTGTAGTTTTATATATTAGTATAGATGTATGAGCTGTACTAAAGAATTTTGATCTACGCCTTACATTCTCATGATTACTTACTTAATACTTTATTTAAAAGATTAAAAAAAAACCAAAATATCAGAAAAGTCTGCGAAACTAGGAAAAACCAATTAGAACTTTTATTAATGAAAAGTTTTCGCTTCTAGTGACTTACGGCGGTGCTCTCGAACCTTCTGCAAAACACTCCAGCACAGTTTTAGTCAATCACGAACTAATAACAGAGTTCGATATTAATACTTCTACTTATATTTTTTTGGGCTATTGGCTAGGAACGTGTTCGCAGCGTCGCGGCATGCCTTATACTGATCAGAGGCGGGACAACACCACTATATTGAGAGCCCTCGCAGTTTTCCGCGACTGCAGTACCCTTTGACTTGATACCCACGAGAGGAGTGGAAGCTCAAGGAAAAACGGTCAAGTTTGTTGCGGTTTTTACCAGCCAATTAATAAAATTAGTGACAATCTGCATGCACCATTTTGTTTTGTTAGAACTAGCTTGTGGTAAATATCTTATGCCTTTAAACGAGCAATTCTTGTATAAGTATATATATAATCTGAATCTCGGAAACGGCTCCAACGATTTTCATAAAATTTAGTATACAGGGGATTTCGGAGGCGATAAATCGATCTAGCTATGATTTATCTTCAGAAAATGTTGTTTTTTTCATGTTTTCAATAATCAACTTTATCGATAATTCCTGACATCTATTGGCGAATAATAATACTATTTTTCATAATTGTTTTAAAGACACAATAACACTAAAGCTGTTTCAGTAGATGGCGTTGTTAAGCCCCCCGAAGCCACTTAAAAATGCCTAAACGAACTTTTTTTTTTTTGCTAAGATGGGTGAACGAGCTCACAGCCCACCTGGTGTTAAGTGGTTACTGGAGTCCATAGACATCTACAACGTAAATACGCCACCCACCTTGAGATATAAGTTCTAAGGTCTCAGTATAGTTATAACGGCTACCCCACCCTTCAAACCGAAACGCATTACTGCTTCACGGCAGAAATAGGCAGGGCGGTGGTACCTACCCGTGCGGACTCACTAGAGGTCCTACCACCAGTGATTACGCAAATTATAATTTTCTCTAAATCTTGGAATATTTCATCATTTTATCAATATGTAATTCGTATTTAAATATAATTTCTAAAAAATACAATTCATCAAAACCGATTTAAACCGATTTAAATTTATTTACTATTACTACTACTACCGAGCTTGGCTCGGTCATCGTCTAGTAAATAAATTTAAACGCGAATACGAATAACGATTTATGAATTACTGTAGTTTTTATTGTATTAACACTATATTAAGCTTTATCTCGAGGGCATGTGAGATCAATCCCTGCGGACACAATACGCACCCGGAGGTCGTGTATTTTACTATCGATCTAATTGTATAAAACAATGCGAATACAAAACGTGAAAACACAAAAATAAGATTTAAAAAGGTCATAAAATATATAATTTGTATTCAACAATTATCGTTGGGTGAAAACATTGACCTATTAAAAATGCAGTTTAATGATATTGCGCGCACGAAAACACGTGCAAAATATGATAGAGACAATGAATCTGAAACGGGTTTTAAAAATTTATTATAATAATAGAACTACTCACTTTTTTTTGATTTACGTTAATCACGTAAATGCAATTAGATTAATGTTTCAAAATTATTGACATATTTGGCGATTCCCTTCCAATATTTAAGAACAAAATTATAAAAAGTTGTTGTTGAACCTCAGCCTCGGCCTTGGTCTGAGTACTCGGGTATTACTGTCCTTGTCTTTCTGTTTTTAATTTTTTATTATTATTTATAGTATTGTTAAATCTCTATTAATATGTTAATATAATGCATGCTGTGATTGCCTATAATTAGAGTTGCAGTTATCAATTGCTCTATACATGTCAATGTTATTTTATGTCTTACTGTAAACCCTGTCGGTAATCCTTAAATAAATAAATAAAATTGTTTTCTTTAGGAACGGATATATTTGGTTAATTTCGTAACACGTTTGAACATCACCGAATAATTTATACGTTATCAAATTTGTAAAACCTTATCAAGTTAATCTTTATTTATCAGGACTTAACGACTTATAAAAACAGAATGAAGGCAGAAGGTCGAAAGATTCCGAGAATGGTCCACATAATTGTGTTCATTGACGCTAACTTTGTAACGGCGCCGGATGCGACCTTTTTCTATTTTCTGGTTTTCTTAGGGTGACCATAACATTAGAAATAATTATGAGGATTCTTGATAATTTATTTAATTGCCTTGATTTGTGAGTGTGCGTGATTTGTTAGTTTTGCGTCAGCTAAATGTGTAGGTTTACGACACAGGGAAGATCTTCCACCGAGCGAGTGATTTTGGTCGGTAGACGGTCCGTATGTTTTGGTTCGGAACTTATAACTAGTCAGGTCATAAGTATTGTTACACAGTAAAAACTTTTCTTTTAGAATGCTGGCCACAAAAAAGTTTATTGAATTCGAATTTCGAATTGTGTATGAAAATAAAAATGTATACTTTTAGAATTTTCATTCATTTTTAATTATGGAGTGGACGCTTAAAGAAGACCGTGTTGCAGTTATTGCGTTGCATCGTTGCGGTTACGCGCCAATTCAAATTTTTAACATACTGAAAAATTTGAATATAACCAAAAGATTTAGTTTATCGTACCATCAAACGATTCAATGAAGACTCTAGTGTAGATGACTGGTCAAGAAGTGGTCGCCCTCGGTCTGTTAGGACTCCAGCAGTGATAAAAGCTGTGAAGGCGCGAATTCAAAGAAATCCCAAACGTAAGCAGAAACTGTTGGCCCTTTAGATGGGGTTAAGCAGAACCACGGTGAAAAGGTTGTTAAATGAAGACTTAGGGCTTCGGGCATATCGAAGAAAAAAAAGACATCGTTTGAATGCTCGTCTAATGGACCTGAGACTGAAGAGATGCCGCGCTTTGTTGAAGCGGTACGTGGGAAAAAAATATCGGGAAATTCTTTTTTCGGATGAAAAATTTTTTACCGTAGAAGAGAGCTACAACAAACAAAATGATATGGTGTACGCACACAGTAGTGAAGAAGCGAGCAACCGTATTCCGCGTGTCCAACGAGGTCATTTTCCATCCTCGCTCATGGTATGGTTGGGAGCTTCTTATTGGGGCTTAACAGAGGTACATTTTTGTGTGAAAGGTGTAAAAACGAATACAGTTGTGTATCAAAATACAGTCCTGACGAACCTTGTGGAACCTGTTTCTCATACCATGTTCAATAACAGGCACTGGGTATTCCAACAAGATTCGGCGCCAGCTCATAGAGCGAAGAGCACACAAGACTGGCTGGCGGCGCGTGAAATCGACTTCATCCGGCACGAAGACTGGCCCTCCTCNGAAAGGTGTAAAAACGAATACAGTTGTGTATCAAAATACAGTCCTGACGAACCTTGTGGAACCTGTTTCTCATACCATGTTCAATAACAGGCACTGGGTATTCCAACAAGATTCGGCGCCAGCTCATAGAGCGAAGAGCACACAAGACTGGCTGGCGGCGCGTGAAATCGACTTCATCCGGCACGAAGACTGGCCCTCCTCCAGTCAGATTTGAATCCGTTAGATTACAAGATATGGCAACACTTGGAGGAAAAGGCGTGCTCAAAGCCTCATCCAAATTTGGAGTCACTCAAGATATCCTTGATTAAGGCAGCCGCCGATATTGACATGGACCTCGTTCGTACTGCGATAGACAACTGGCCGCGCAGATTGAAGGCCTGTATTCAAAATCACGAGGTCATTTTGAATAAACTTTAGTGTCATAAGAATCTATGTTTTGTTAAGTCCATTTTAGTATATGAATGGTTACATAATGAATAAACTTGTTTCAATTATTTTACATTAAACATGTGACAGAATTTATATACCTGACTAGGTATATATGCAAGCTTTTCTTCAAAATATCGTAAGTGAGATTCAGGCATCTGTCAAACATCTTGTGTTGTATTGTAGTTTGGTGGCTATCCGCCACAAAATATCTTCATACTTAAATTTTAATAAAATATCTTGAACCTTAATTTTTAAACATAGTTTGGAGAAGATCATGCTATAGGGCACAAAAAACACGAAACAGTGCGTTTAAGAGTTGTACTATTACAGCTGTTCCGGGATCTTCTCTTATAACGAAAAATGCGTTTGTACAAAGGACCTAACGGTCAGACCAGTTACAGGCAAGTACATCTAAGTAAGTCTCATCTGAGAGTCCATAGTATATGACACTATTGCTGCCACCTAAATTGAAACCTTAGGTCGATGTTATGTCAGTGGGGTATCGCGTGACACCAGCGGTACGGGCGAGGCGGTTTTTATAGCTGCTCTACCGTGAAGGCTGGCGTCAAGTCATCGACTGTTACCTGACAATTCCGTCGGTAGACGTTCTCGGGGGCCATTTGTACTAATCACCGTGGGATTGGGACGTCGGGGGGGAGTAATCGATAGGGCTTAGTCGGTAGCTGTCTTGGAATCCGACATAACCCATCCTGATCCGGAAAAAAGGTAGAAGTTCTGTAGGGGACGTCTTCCTCCGATGAAGGTCAAGGAGTGGCCTAAAGGGGTCGCAGTACGCAGCGCGCTGGCGCAAGACAGCTTCGCCCTAACGCGTAGAGGTGAGCTCACAGGTCTCGAGCCCTTCGTGGTGCTTGTGGTACCTAAAAGCACCGTTAGTGGATCTGGAGGATCCGTAATGCCGTGTTTTGGGCGACGTCGACTGTTTACCATTCGGTCTACAGGATTGGGTATGAAGCTTCAAAACTGAAATAATAACCAATATATTGGAATTTGAAACTTCATTACCCATAAAAACGGGTAAGTAACAAAAAAAAGGGAAAATTAATCACGTAAATCATGGAAACCCCTTAATACGTGCCGGGTCGCTATGTCACTAATTCTGTCCGCGAAAACCTAAAACTGAATTTAATTATAAAAACGTGTCCACTGTTGCGGAGTTTCATTTTTTGCGCATACATTTTGATTAAAAGGCCGTAAGGTCTAATCTCGTGTTTTTTTTTTATTCAATTTCAATCACCTTCCTAAATTTTAGTTCCCTCTGTTAGGGAAGACTGGATGTACATATATTATAAAAAATAAATAAATAAACGTATGCCATCACAAAAAGTAAACAATTTATAGAAAATTACATTCGGGACTATATAAGGATTCTAAACGATATAAGTCTGTTTTTTTATTGCTTAAATGGTGTTAAGTGGTTACTGGAGCCCATAGACATCTACAAC